CACCCCCTTCATTGCTCACATTTCGGTCTGAACCAACACTCACCATACAGCCTGCCCCAAGCATCTCTCCCCACCCCCCACCACTAATGTCCGTGGAAAAACAGTCTTCCACGAAACTGGTCCCTAATGCCAAAAAGGTTTGGGACCACCATCTTAAAGTATATATAATAGCCCATCTCTGAGAACCCTACCTCACATGCCTGAGCACTAAGCTAAAATATTTTTGTTTAAACTCACAGGAAACATCCTGACCAGGCCCATCTGCGAATGGCTTCTGGAAAGAAGAAATTAACACAACCCTTCCAGAGTCTGGCCATAGTCAGGAAATATTTGCAACTACTTAGTTCCTTTTTCACTTGACACCCTGGCCTTCCCTTCTTTGTTCCATAAAAGAAACTAGAATCCAAACCTGGGCAAGATGGTTCTTTGGGAAACTAGTCCACCATCTTCTCAGCCTGCAGCTTTCCGAATACAGTCAATATTCTTTGCCCCAACAACTCGACTCTCGATTTACTGGCCTGGCCTGCCCTGCTACGAGCAGTTCGAGCTCAGGCTTGGTAACATCTGAAGACCCTGAACTTCATCTGAGGGCCTCTGCCAGCCTGTGCATTGCTCGCATCTTTTCCACCCTCAGCAAACTCCCAACCTGCAGATAAATAAGGTTAGGAAACAACAGTGACCAGCCCAGAAAAGCTTCTCAGAAGCAGGCAAGGGAATTCTCATTCCTTACTGTTACCCCCTCTTTGCTGGTGAGGCCGTTGTGACTTACCTAAGGCTACGCAACCAATAAGGGCAGAGTCAGTGGTTGAACTCCTCTTCTGATGGATTCTAACTCCAAAATGCTTTGAATAGTCAGCCAACTGATTTGACCTTGGACCTTTACTGCAGTGTTTGCACCTGAACAAATGTCTCCTGGAATACAAATAAATATAAATACAATGGAATACAAATAACACTATGAAAATAACTGCATCTTGCAATTGGGGCAAATCAAAAACAAGATACAAAAAGACTATAAACCCAATGGCCTTTTAGGAGGTGTCAGAAACAAAAGCAGGATACAGTGCGTGAGCCCTGCCTGCAGCAGCACCGAGGGGATGGGCACACCACCTAAGCCACTCTTCTAATTCAACTTACGATCCGCCCCTCCCCTCACCCCATTTAAAGGACCAGCTCCCCCTCCCTCAGGGAGCAAGCAAGGACACCTGCTACTTGTTTTCACTCCCTTCTGCTGCAGCACAAGTCCGAGTCCGAGCAAAGCTTTGCCTGCATTTCTCATCTGGCCTCTTTATCACTTTCTGCTGATTAAGTGTCCGAGAACCCACATCAGTACACAGATGTCCTCAATTTATATTTTATCCCAGCTCCAGTCTTGAAGAGCGAAATGAGATCATTGCCCCCAGAGAACACTGATAACAAGGTTCTCACAGAGCTGGGGGAAATGCCAGACGGCTCCCTACCCGCCAGGCCCACAGGACCCTGGAGTCATAAATGAACACATTGTTGGGAAATGTCTATCACTTTGACAATGGACTGAATTGACGCTGAGCAATGTGAATCTGCGTAAAAGATATCTCTAAACTAAGCAGGTGGGATACCTTTAAGCTGGTTTCCTCCACTTATAAATGTGGATTCATCACACTTCAAAAAACACCAGGTGGGAAGCTGCCCTTACCAACCTCTGGGATAACCACAGAACGCCACGCTTACAGTACCAGCCGGGATGAACGAAGAAACAAGAACACAGTGCTTGCAACGGTACTTGACATAAAGTCGGAATCAATGAATGTCAGCACCAGTTAGTGTCGGCATCTAGGACTACAATTACTGATGGTATACTGGTTAACGTTAGGCCTGTACACAGCAGATTTCCTTACCTTCCTACATCTTCCCCTACCTGGGAGGATTTGTGACTGTTTGTCAGAAAGGGGATAGAGTTTTAAACAAAAATAAAACACAAAAGACTTCTTAAATCTCACCGTGTTAGGTCCCCTGCACCTTCTATCCCTTACAGAGGCATCTATACCCACACTCCACTGGTTCATTCTCTCCGCATGTAACTTGTGAGGCCATGGGCTAGCAACCCTGCTCCATCTGTGTGGAGGAGGGGTGGCCTGGCCCCCGCGGGGCTGAGACCTTTCTGGAACCAGTCTTGTCTGCCCAGAGACAAGAAGACAAGGAGGCTTTTGTGGACTCTGACCCTCCCAGCCACTGAGCCCCTTCCAGCTTGGCAGTCCCTCTCCTCCCCTCCACCTCCAGAGAGATGGCCAGCTCCCACTTACCGTTTGCCTTGGCCCCTTGCCTTTGGGTGTGGGCTGGGGGAGAAAGCCCTGCCAGATGCCCCCTCCCGCCTTTTATCGCCACAGCAGGCCAGCCTGGGAGGCCACATACATCCTGCAGTATTGCCAATGGGTGCATGGGTATCCTGGGAGCAAGTCTCCACATTTCTGTGTGACCTTAGGCCACCCCCTGACTTCTCTGAGCATCACACTCCAAGTGAGGGTTCAACTGTGGATCTTAGTGGTAACTGCCAGGGCGGAAGCATGAGAGGAAAAGATGACTTCGCACATTATAGCACTTTAACTATGCAGGCAGTTATGGGTCGTCTTTCCCTAACTTAAGAACTTGCCACTCTGAGCCTCCAAAGACCCAATTTGCCCTCTTCTACCTCCACCTCCCTCCAGATTTCCTCACTACCTAGTTACTCTCCTGGAGCCTGATAATGCTTCAGAGTGTGAATTTTAGAATCAGGTCCACCTGCCTTCCAACCTGGGATCTGCAGTTTTCTGATCTAATCAAATATATCTTCTCTGAAAATATATGGTTTTCACTGAGTCAATGATGCCATCCAACCATCCCATCCTCTGCCGCCCCTTCTCCTCTTGTCCTCAATCTTTCCCAGCATCAGGGTTTTTCCCAATGAGTTGGCTCTTCACATCAGGTGGCCGAAGTACTGAAGCTTCAGCTTCAGCATCAGTCCTTCCATTGAATATTCAGGGTTGATTTCCTTTAGGATTGACTGGTTTGATTTCCTTGCTGATATTAATGTATCAGATTAATAATCAAAATACATAAAGGAAAGAGGGAAAATAGAAAAAAAATATTTGAATAGGCAAACAAAAGTCAACTTAACTCATAAAAAATAACAAGGTAATTTTTTGCATCATCAAACTGTCAAAATATTAAAAGATAAATATCCAGTGTGCAAGTGTACAGGGCTGCCAGTAGGACAACTTCAGGTCTCCCCACTGCAGAAGTATTTTATGTAAATGGCGCCACCTGCAGCACAATTCCAATACAGACTGCACTGTAACTGTGTGCCTTGGAGCCCTGCTCTCAGTGGCTCGCCCCTCCTTTGAGCTTAGGGAAAATCTCTGGCATATCCAAGAAGAGGCCAGCTTGGCTAGATTCCAGTCCAGTTCCCTCAGCTTGGTAGACTCTTCCAGTTCCTTGTCTATGTGGTTCCTAATATAAATTCAGACACAAATGTGTATACATGGAACTGAATAACATATGGAAAGTGAAAGTCTCTCAGTCCTGTACAACTCTTTGCAATCCCATGGACTATACCGTCCATAGGATTCTCCAGGCCAGAATACTGCAGTGGGTAGACGTTCCCTTCTCCAGGAGATCTTCCCAACCCAGGGATCGAATCCAGGTCTCCTACATTGCACACTGGTTCTTTACCAACTGAGCCATCAGGGAAGCCTATATTTGGGGATTTTTACTTTCATGCTTTTATTTTCATGTTCATCTCATCAAATTTTAGAGATCATTCTATGTTAGTACACCTAAATCTGAGACAGGCTGGGACTGTCTCAGGGACTGAGACAGGCTGACCCTTCGCTGCAGTCCTTGATCCTGGACAAACTGTTTTCTCCAGCAAGAAAATACAAAGAAACTATAGGGGACTAAAAATAACTGTGCGGTTGTACAAACTAGGAACAACAAGATACAAAAAGACCAAAAACCCAACTGCCACTTCTGAGGGGTCAGAAACAAAAGCAGGGTCCTATGCATCCTTAGTGCGCCCAGCACCACCAAGAGGGTGGGCAGACCACCTAAACATACCCCTCCAGCCCAGGCAGGATCCACCCCAACCCTGGAGCCATTTAGGAACCAGCTCACCCCCTTCCCCAGGGAGCAAGCAAGGGCACCCATACCTGTAATCTGGCGTGCTTAGGTAAGAGATCCAAAGCCTTGCCTGATCTGGCTTTGTATCAATTTCTTTTTTAAGTTTATTTGGTTGCCATCATATGGGATCTTCCATTGCAGCAAAGAGACTCTCTACTTGTGGCGCTCCGGCTCAGCAGCAGTGGCATCTAGGCTTAGTTGCTCCCCAGCGTGTGGGATCTTAGTTCCCTGAACAGGGATCAAACTCAAGTTCCCTTCATCGCAAGGTGGATTCTTAACCACCAGACCACCAGGGAAGCCCCCATCAATTTCTATTTAAGAACCCGGGTCAATAACAAATCCACTATAGTCCTTTGGAAAGTTATCTTTTAACAATACTGTTACTCCTTTAGAAGGAGAAAATTTCAGTGGAACGCAGACCATTTCTGAGCCTCCCTCTCAGATCGACACTGTCTGATGTCATCAGAGCTGATTACTCCGTGAAGTTAGGGATTCAGATCCTGTGCCAGAGGCATGGGTGGCACTTCTGGAAACTGCAGCCTGCCGGTCTGTGAAATGGGCTCATAACGGATCACTGGGCCCCCGGTTCCATCATCCTCTGTTCTGTGCTCGGGCCCAGGGGGAGGCGCGGGGGGCTCAGAGCGCGGCCCCTTCCTGGGGAGGCGCCCAGCCTGGCACATCGCCCCTCCGCTCGCTCGCGGGGTCTCTGGAGGGGGCGGGCGCGCTGGAGCCAGAAAGCCCGGAGCCGCCCAGGAATCTTGGCTGGAACTGAGAGCATTTCCTCCCAGGCGGGCCGGCGCGATCCCGGGGAGGGTGGGGAGGGCGGCCGCGGGCAGAAGTGGCGCTGCGCTCCGCCGGCCGGCAGCATGCGGCCCCTGCTCTGCGCGCTTGCCGGGCTCGCCCTGCTCCGCGCCCCGGGCGTCTTCGCCGGTGAGTGGGGCCGGGCAGCGGGGCGAGGGCTAGAGAGACCGCGGACCGCGAGGAAGGAGCAGAAGAGAGGGAGGGAGGTGGGAACGGAGCCAGATGGAGAGAGAGATGGAGAAAGAGGGAGATGCAGGGGGGGGGAGAGAGACAGATGGGGAGAGAAAAAGGAAAGACGAAACAGAAAAAGGCTGAGAGATAAAGGCACCGGGACATAGAAAAAGGAAAGAATAAAGAGAGGGAGGGAGAGGCTGGGACAGAAAGATTTCGGAGGTAAACAGATGGGTGTGAACTATGAATGAGGACAGAGAAAAAGGAGTTTAGTGGGAAAGAAACAGAGGAACTAAAATGGCAAGAGAAAGGGGAGAGAGGATATTGAAGAAAAGCGTAAGATTTGAGAGACAAAAAAAGGAGAGGGGATGGAGAAACCCAGTGCCCCAGGTGGGGAGGAAAGAGAGGAGGGGGCCAGGATCAGGAGGTGAATGGTCAGGTCGGCTGGGTGGCGCGGGCCTGTGAAGCACCCAGGCCTCCTCTCCTGGGGAATTTCCTGGGATGCTGAGCCCCAACAGGCAGACGACCCAGGTCTGATCCGGCCCAGCTGGTAGGGGCCAGGCAGGCGGCCCCTGGAGGTCTTGGCTTTACCTGCCTGATAGTCTGAGGAGGTCCTGCAGCAGAGGAGAGGAGGCCAGTTGTCAGCCTTTTGGAGAGATTCGCAGAGGGCCTGAGTAGCCTTGGGTGGGTGGGGAGGAGGCTGCAGGAAGGAGAAGCCCCCTGGGTGCTCCAGGCTGGGTTCCTTGCAGTGCCTTGTCCCCTGCACCTCCCCTGACAGCAGCCTTAGAGCTGTCCCCTCCCAGGTGAGGCTCAGACAGGAAGGCTTCAGGACTAACTGTACTGTACGCATAGATGTTCCTTCCACCACCGCAAGACTCTGCACTTTATATGGCACTTTACAGTTGACATTTACCCAAGCTCTCTTGCCAGCCTCGACCAGAGACGGCTGATGCTCACAGTTGTGCACGTGAGGGGAAGGCTCAGTCTGTCCAGGCATGCGGGTCTCCTGACCCCTCAGCCACACCCTTACCCCATGTCAGGCTGCTCCCCCATCCCCCTGGAGCAGGCGGAAGTGCCCGGTGTCAGGATGGAAGCTCCCCTGACAGGGAACTAGGAGCCGCAGGGAAAGGGCTGAGGCCAGCCCTGCTCCTGGCCAGCCCCCGGCTGAGTGACCTTGGGTGAGCCGTGTCACCTCTCTGAAGCTGTCTCCTCTTCTGTAAGTTGGGGAGAACGGTAGCCATCCAGAGAGCTGGAGGAAAGGGAAGTGCCCGGCGCAGAACACCTGTCAACACACATTGGCTCCTTCCCTCGCCCCCTCAGACAGCTCCAGTGACCTCTCTGAGCCAGTTTCTCCACTGAGGTTGGCAAAGGAGGACCAACAAGCCCTTCCTCACAGGCTGAGTGAGGAGTGGCTGAGACCACCCAGCACTGAGCCTGGCCCACAGTGCCATCCTCCCCACCCCCTACTTTCCCGGCCCACCCCGGCCCCTCTTCCCAGAGACCCCACCTCCAGGAGCTGAGGGGACAAAGCCGAGTCTGTGCTCCCCCAGAGGGAGAAGCTGGCCACTGCCCACAGCGGCCGACCTTCTGTGGCCCTTTAGCTATGACTGGTGTATACATTTTGTCTCAAAGCCATTTTAAACATTTTCTTCCTGATCATTTTCATTGCTTCAGATTAAGAAAAAAAGAAGAGAGTATTAATGTATTAATGTAATTTTACTTTGTGTTCAAACATTTTTGTATATAACCTTTCAGACTTCAATTATACCATTGTTTTTTTTTAAACTGTTGATTATCAAATCTTTTGGATATATACACAGAATAGTGTAAGGAACTTCCATGGATTCTTGACAGATCTTAATTCATCTAATCCACCTTCTCTCCCCTCCCTCAGATTAAACTGAAACTCCAGGCACTATATAGTTTCATCTATAAGTATTACCTTATGTATTACTAAAGCATCAATAATCTTTTAATAACTGAAATACCACTATCACTCCCTAAAAATGGATAATTCCTTAATATCATCAAATATCTAGTCAGTGTTCATGTCCCTAATTGTGTCATGTTTTTATATTTGGTTTGTTTGATTCAAATGAGGTGGATACATTTGGTTTTTGGTTGATACGTCCATTAAGTTTCTTTTAGTAAGTTTTAGGTTTCTTTATAAGGTTCTTTTCTTTTTTCTTAAAGTTTATTTGGTGAAGAAACTGCATTGCTAGTCCTATAGTTTTTCACATTTAAATTTAAGCTGATTGCATCCTCTATATGTCTTTTAAATGTTCTTTTCCCTGTATTGTCTATAAACTGGGAATTAGAAGCATCGTCTAATTAATTCCAATTAGACTTTTTTTTGCAAGAATACTTTAAAATGGTTTATTGCTTTAATTTTCATTTCTTTGATTATTGCCAAGGTTGGATTTTTCTTCAAATGAATATTGGTCATTTCTAATTCTTGTGAATTGTTTTGGCCTTTTCAATTGTGGGATTGGGATTTTTCACATTGCTCTATAAAAGTCCTTTATGCGTTGAGTGAAACAGACTGTTCTGTGTTATTTGTAGAGAATTTTTTTTTTAAGTTAAGGCTTCAGCTGAATTCCTTTTCTATTTTGCTATCAGAGGGATCTCAAGTCCTAGAGCCTAGTCCCATTAGCCATTCTCATCCATGCCTCAGGGCCTACAGGGATCCACCACCACTCCAGGTCCCTGTGGACTGTCTTCCATTGGGATTCTGCTTGTTTACTTTGGGTGAAAGGAGAATATGCTCAGGCTATGGTCCAATCTTCCCAGGTAGCACTAGTGGTAAAGAACCTGCCTGCTCAAGAGACTGGGGTTCAGTCCCTGGATCAGAAAGATCCCCTGGAGGAGGGCATGGCAACCCACTCCAGTATGCTTGCCTGGAGAATCCTATGGACAGAGAAGCCTGGCAGGCGCTGGGATTGCAATAAGTCGGACACAACTGAAGCGATTTAGCACGCAGCACGCATGGTAAGGATCACTGCATTTCTTCTTACAAAAATGGATGACGGGGGAGCAAACCTCTCAAAGTCAGTTTGATCCAGTGTACACAGTTGGACTCTTGTTGGCCTCAGGACAAGTGCACAGGTGTCATGCGTATAGGTACTTTTTGCCCCATGCTAGTCCAGCCTCTCATTTTACAGAGGAGGCAGCCGAGATCCCAAGATGGGAGGCCCTTAACTCCTCATAGAACTCCCAAAACACAGCATGGTGTCAGGCAGACACTATGGCAGACAGACACATATGTCAGGCAGACAAATCCTGTCCCCACCATCTACTAGTCGTGTCCGTGTAGTCTTGGGTATGTCTCAACCTCTTTGATCTTTGGTTTTCTAATCTATAAAATGGTGATGCAGAGTACTGAGCTTACAGATAGAATTAAATGAGAATGCAGATGAGCACTGAATAAAAAGCTAGGCACATAATAAGTGATCATAAATTGATAGTGGATTCAAATATAGAGTATGGCTGTGCCCACTCTAAAGGTGGAGAAACCAAGGATCCAGCCTGTGGGACTGGCTTATAATGGAGCCCAGAGAGTCCGGTCAGCCCTGAACCCTCAGTGTGCTTGTTGGCAAAGCCCCTCCCAAGCACCCCTTGGACCCCTGTACTCTGTAGTCCCAGAGCAGATGCCTTCCCACCTTGAGGAGACCTAGCCAGAGTTACCTAGTGAAGAACACTGGCTCCATGTGGAAAGCAAAGACCATGAGGGCTTACTGACCTGCTCAGGCTCCAGCCCACCTGATAAATGCCTTTCCTGGCATTTGCACATCACCTGGCAGTTCTCAGGTACCTTCCAATGCAGAATCCCCTTGGATCAGCACAGCAGTCCCACCAAGAAGGCCAAGTAGACAGAGCAGGGAGGATCCCTTGCAGAAGAAGCTGAGTGAGAAGCAGAGAGCACAGTCAGTCAGCAGTGAAGGTGGGACCACACCTCTGACTCCCAACCTTGTGCTCTGTTCACAGCATGTGGGGAGAAGTTAATCCTGGATGTCTTCCTAGTCCTTGGCATGGTGCGGGTTTAGGAATGTTCTAGTACTTTATAACCCAGTGGATTAAAAAACATAGGATTCTGAGGTAGAAGGAATCTGGTTTCCTGTACAGCCTTGCGGGGAGCAGAGCTGCCTGCCAGCCCTGAGCATCAGCCAGTCCACCTCTGAACTGATAAGTGAGAAAGAAAGAAACAACGTGTGTGACTGGGGGGTGGGGGAGGGCTCTTTGTTACAGCAGCTCAGCTTGTATCCTCACTTAACCACCCACTGACTGCATTGGTAAGCTCTCAGAGTCACCAGCGGGCTCAAATCCACCTCTGGAAAATGACCAGAGAACAAGGGAGACAACACATGGCTCCCAAAATAAAAGTTTCCCAGCATCTGAGCTCCCTCTGAGGGGGCTTAAGTGGCCTTCTCCTGTTTCAGCCAGAGCAGGTCCACAGATTAGAGTTCTTCATATAATTGTTTGAAAATAGCATTCTTCTGCTTAAAAAACAAAACAAAACACTGGTTTGGAATGAAGCAGAAATTTTAATACAAATATTGAATGTGGTCAAATTTATTAGACTATTATATTGAATGTGGTCACACAGAATTAAGCCCCAATCTACAAGTGTAGCTGGTCAGAGCTGCTCTTTTCAGGATCAGAAATCGTTTGAGTTGTGCACTTTCTTAGTGAGTGTTCAGGTCCAGAGAAAAAAAAGTTCTATGTCTGTCAGTGGGAGGGGGCCGTACTCCCGCCTCAGAGGCCGGAGGCCCAGTGGCGTCTACCCCTTGCGTCTACGCTGGGCCTCTGGTCCAACTCCACCCCCAGCCCCCACCGGCAGCCTGCTCTCACGATGTTCCACCCAAGGCTGCAGTCCAGGGTGCACATCGGCCCTGAGTGGGCGCCAGGCCAGGGAAAACAACCTTGCATCCAAGAAGGTCCATTTCCCAACTGGCCAGGCAGGGGAGGGAGGGAGCAGAGGAAGGCAGGGAACACTGGGAACCACAGCCTTGGCCGTCCGTGGTCAGGCGGGATAATCCTGCCACCTCCCCCACTCTTCTTGCTCTGGTTTGAGCTTCCCTGGAGCCCCTGAAGCGGGGGGTGTGGGGAGGGTGGGGGGGGGGGGGTGGACCGACATTATCAAGAGCTCCTTAAGACTGCGCAAAGAAGGGAATCCTTGCCTAACTCTTGCTTTGCTGGAGTTTCTGGGCGGAGAAGCAACTTGTCCTTAGACTCATCTCGGTTCTGTCCTGGTAGCTCATTTGAGGTCTGAGAGACAGAGATGAACCTTGGGTGTGCTGCATCTGTTCAGGAGTGCCTCACCCTCCCCACCGCCCCACAACCCTTTTTCTGAGGAGGCAGCAGAGGCTCAGGGAGAAGAAAGTTCCCACGGCCGCACCAGTGCACGGCTGAGGCTCCAGTGTGTTTCTGCCTTCAGGCTTCGAGGTCAAAGCCTTGAGAAGCCCCGTGGGGAAGGGCGCGGCGGGGCAGGGTGGCCGGGCTCTTCCCGCCACCCCCCCAACCCGCCCTCTCAGCAGAGCTCCCCGGGAGGCCTGGATGAGCTCACAGACAGTTGTGCCGCAGCCCTGGGCGCAGTTGTGTCCAGATGCGACGGATTACTGCCATGTGATGTGGAGAGCAGCCTCAGCCCAGCCTCTTCCCTGGAGGGGTCTGGGAGCCAAGTCAGACCTCATCGCAGACACGCAAAGAACAGGATGTTTTAGGCTGAGCGAGGGGAGCAGATTCATGTTGTTCGTGACTTAGAGGGCTGGTAGAGCCCCGCTTGGCCGGCAGGGTCACCCTGCTTCCTCTTGGCCTACGTGCATGGGGGAGGGGGAGAGGAGTCGTTTAGGGTCTGGGAGAGGGCAGGTGGGGTGCAGGGGAAGGGCTTGGCCAAAGGCCCCTCTGGGCAAAGCCTGCAGGAGGTGTATGTGAGCACAGACCTAGACCAGGACAGCCCTCTGTGTGGCTGAGAACAGCACTGCCTGCCCCCTCCAAGTCCTTTCTCTCTAGCTGAGCACCCCAGTTTTCTCAACTGAGACATCTGGAGTGCCTTCACAGTGACCCCATTAGACCTGCGCCTGCCTGTCCAAAGCCTTCTCGCAGTGAATGACCCAGAATGGAGCACAGCCCTCCAGGTGGGGTCTCTCAGAACAACCCCCAACACGCATCCAGAACATTTTGCATCAATGCACAAAGCGCATGATGACTTAGGCTTTTTGCTGACAACCTCATTGGACAACTGCCTTACATTGTGGAAAATTTCAAACCAGGCATACAAAAGTAGACTAGCAGAGTGAACCCTCTAACCCCCACCCCATGTCCCCATTACTCAATTTCAACAATTACCAGTCTTGGTCAGTCTTGACCAATATTCAGTACTCCTACCCACGCCTCCTCCCACTCCCAGGCCTGGATTATTTTGAAGTAAGGCCAAGACATAATAGCATTGTATCTATAAATATTTCAGGAAAGCTCTCTAAAAGGCTCCTTTTAAAAAGATAACCAGAGTGACACTATAATATCTCCTCCCTCCTCAAAGTCAACAACACGACCAGTGTTTTTTGAAGAGGCATTTCTAAGTTCAGTGGATGGATGTAATAAAAAGCATAAAGTAAAAACTGAAATCCTCCACAAAAGATGCTCAGAGTAGAAGGAAGTTTTGTCCCTGTGCTTGGCTCTCACCCCTGTGTGGAAGACCTGGGGTCCAGATAGAGTTCGGACTAGAGACTCTTAAGGCACGGGGACTCTGGAGAGCTCCAGAAAACCAGCTGGCTGACATGGGGCCAGGAGGAGGCCAGGGTCCTTGGAGTTCAGTCATTTGCTAACTGTGTGATCTTGGACAAGTCACCCAGCCTTCAGAGTTACACATTCATCACCAGCAAAATGGCTTGTCATCTCCATCCTTACCTCAAGGCCTGCCAACCTTCTAGGCAACTTTATATCGTCCCCTTGGGCAACCCAGCCAACACTGAGGTCTTAGAGTTACAAGAGTTTTACATTTACAAAGATCAAGTCCAATAACTCTTACCCCCACTCAGATTCAGATGCCCACAGCCGTGGTATTGTCACTGTGAAGCTGCTCCACCTCTCAAAGCTAAAAATTGCAGTCTCTTAAAAATTGCAGTAAATTCCATTACTCCCATCATTGCATCAGGACCTCTAGTGCCTTCAGACCCTCCCTTTCTCCCAATTATTAGTCTTCTTATTGGCCTTTCCCCCTTCCTTATTCAAGCTAGACTCCAGAACTCAGCCACCTAAGCCCTGGCTGGTTGAATCGTCAGCTCTTCTGCCCTTCACCACATTCATTCCTCGGACTCCCAGGTTTCAGCTTGTCCACCCATCTGTCTTTGCTGCTAACACCTATCTGCTGAGCTGCTGGGATGGGGCTTCCTTGGCGCTCTCACTCTGTATCATCCTCCTAACTGCTTCTGTCATTCTCCTCACCCCCTTTCTTTATTCAAGCTTCTTACCCAGGGGCGCTGATACACTGGCTCTTGGGAAACAAAGCATCTGTCAGTTTCCATGGTGAAAGTACTCTTTGCCGTGGCTCCCCAGTGACTGTGTCTTTCAGCCTGCTCATAGAATTCCCAATAACTCCACAATGAACTCTGCTCTGCTAACCCTGCATGAGTTTTCAGCAGATGATTCCCCTCTTCACCGAGGGAATAGCAGTTATTAGGTGGGACTCGCTCAACTTCTTGACTCTTTCAAGTAGAACATTTTACCCATTTCTGCAGCATGTCCTCTCTGTTCCTTCCACGTGTGACCACCCCCATCACCATTTCTGGATTCTGTGGCCTCACATCTCCTCAGGAAGTGCATTCTTTCAGTTCTCCTGGGTTCTTCCTGTCCTCAAGCTAAAAGCGTGGTTTAGTTTCTTCAATGCTTAAAGACCTGGAAATAACAGTAAACACTTCTTCAGACATTGTGATCTGATCTCCCTTCGCAGCCAAGCTTGGTGGTAGTTTTCCAGGATCTCTGTTTCCTTCTCCTGGCCTTTGCTTCCCTTCTCACCCCACTGTGACTAGACTCTGCTCCGCTGGCTCCTCTTCACTAAACGCGCTGGGATGGCATTCAGCATCACCTTCTCTGTTGGTCTGTGTCTCGGTCTTTATCTTGCTAGACCACAGTGCCCTCTTCAGGCCATGCTGTTTCATCCTCTTTAAAGTGCTTTGTTTCTGGGGCAGTGTCCCCCTTCCTGAGTGTCCGGGTTTTCCAAGGATCCAGCCAACTTGGATGCCCTAAAAACATCTCAGAGCCACCAACCCTGCAACTTAAGCTCAAAACCAGGCTGTAAGACATCTGGTGTGAAGGTTGCTGGTGCCAGGCAGAATCAAGGAGTCGTCAACGGTGGGGAGGAAAATGATGTTGAACAAGTTGAACCTCAGAGCTTCTACTTACTAGCTGTGTGATGTTGGACCTGTCATTTCACCCCTCTCAGTTTCCTTATGTGTAAACTGTGGATAGTAATTGGTTGTAGAGGTTGGCTGAGTTTACGCATTTGTTGAGCACACCATGTGGCACATAATGCTATTTCTAAAATATCTCCACACATATTCTTCCTCTTTTCCTACAGCTGCCTCCTTTCATCAGTTCTTATGCCGATTACTGCAATACTTCCTGCCTTTAAAGATGAATCTCTCCAATTCATTCTCTGTATTTTAAAAATTCATATATGACTACATGACTCTCCTGTTAAAAGAACCCCCGAAACATCATGATTGATTTATTAGGCCCCAGCTTTGTTTCCACCATCCACCTCTCCAGTCTCATCCCCACCCACCCGGTACTTTCCAGCCACTCCAGACTCCCAAGGGTTTCTGCACTGAGCCATGCTACCTCATGTCTATCTTTGCACATGCATTCTTTCTGGCTAAAACATCCCTTCCCTTCCTTTTCTTACCCAGTTCAGGCCTCACCTCCTTGAGGATGCCCACTTGGGTCTGTAGGTGACCATGGCCCTAGAGATGAGTGAGTACGGCAGCCCTACACTCACACCCTGGCCCTCTCTGCTTCTCTTTGGACTGTTTTCAGGACTCACCTCCTCTGAGCCAGGTACTTTGTAGGAGACTCTAATGTTACAGGGAAACCGAGGGCCCCACGTTGACAAGACTTGTTTTTCCACAGCTGATGAACCCTTCATCCCCTCCCAAGGAGACTCAGCTCAGAGCACAGGGTGTGACAGATACATGGCTGTCCACAGTCGGCTGGACGTCATAGAGGAGGTAATGTGGGTGACCTGGGAGGACATGCAGCTTCGGGACCATCTGCCAGGCTGGTGGCTTTGGAGTGCTCAAGCCAATCTGGCTTTGGAAAATTGGGGCGATCTAGGCCAGTTCTCCTCCCTGGCCACCATGTTAAACATCTCCGTGCCCTACCTGTACTGTTAGGCTGACCAGCCCCCAACAGACCCTGCCTCCCCTGGGAACTTGGTTGCCTCCAGCCAGAGATCTCTGCATATTCACCAGATAAGAAGGTGGAAATTCAGTCGCTGTGTTTTGTTATACAGCCACTACTTGTAACCCAAGGTCCATAAACTTGTATGGGGGAAAAACTGCACTTTATTTCACAAACCTTTAGCTGAAGTTTAGCATTCTCATTCACTATAGACAATAAACCACTATAGACAAAAAACAACTGTACCTTGACTTCGTCATCAATAGAAATCACAGATAATTTCATCCCATTATAGTCACTGTGAATATCTCAACATATCATTTATTCTAATCAGAGTGTCAAAAATTCAGTGGTTGCTGGGCCTGCTGTTACTTGAGCTAGGAAGTTTTATATCAAAATTAAATATTTTAATATTTTAATGCAGTTTATGTCCTTGGAAATCCTATATGTTTTCTCAATGAAAGCAGTCTTCTAATGGGGGTCTATAGGTTTTACCAGACTACTAAAGGGATTCATTTACAAAAAAGTTAAGAACCCCGAATAAAGAAAATTTCAAAATGCCAAAACGGTCATTTGGCAGAGTCGCCACCAGGGGGCGGGGCAACAAAAGGAATGTGAACTCCCAGTGGTGTCATCTTGAAATAGGAAAAGGGATCCCAGAGTCCATCCTCGCCCCCAAACCAGTGATTAAGCGAAACCCCTAAGCGCCAGAACCAGGAGTGGCCTTGAGTGAGCCCCTAAAATCATGTCATCTGGGAGCCGAGAGGCAGGTGCGGGCAGAGCCTGAACCAGGAGGACCCAGGTCTTCCCACTGCACCGTACTGGACTGCCATGGGCTCTGGAGGACGTGGCTGATGAAGCAAGATTGACCTCACTCTTGTCTTCCACTCCCCTACTGTCCTCCGCCTTCTCTCCTTGCTCTAGACGGTGGAGAAGACGGTGGAGCACCTGGAGGCAGAAGTCAAAGGCCTGCTGGGTCAGCTGGAGGAGCTGGCCTGGAACTTGCCCCCGGGGCCCTTCAGCCCGATCCCCGACCTCCTCGGAGACGGAGATGGTGAGCAGCTTGAGTAGCAGAGGTGACAGCCTCTGGAACTGGGCAGCAGGGTGGGGACGACTGCTCCACTCCACTGTGTAACCTGGACAAGCCAGGAAGTCTCCAGCTTCTCCTTGGGACAGAATTGGAAGGAATCCCCCCCAACTCCCCCTCAAGAGTTGTCTGCCCACACCCCTGGGGTTGCTGCAGCCCAGCATCAGGCAAGGGCACCTGGAAGAGTTCCACTCTCAGCACCACCCTGACCCGGAGCAGCTGCCTCCTCCTGAACCCTATGTTCCTGGCACAGGAGTCCCTGGGGGACTGGGAGGGGAGGGCAGGCAGCAGTCAGTACCCGTTCGCTCACCCCCCAGGTTGCCCCCTCTCTTTCAGATCGCTTTTGAGAACCAGAGCTGGAGCCGCCCAGCAGCTGGCAGTGACACAACAGCTCTCCTCTGCGAACAGAACAGGCATTCTGGCCTGGCTTCCTCAGCTTTGTGCAAAATAAAACCTACTCCTTTGGTCCTCTCTGTGTCTGCTGACAGTGACCTCAGGAGCCACAGCCCCGTCTCCGTCTGCTCCCATGCCCTGAGACTCACACCCCTGCAGACTCAGACGCAAGAGCACCAGTCCATCTGCACGCTTCCACCCTTCATATTTACAGGGATGGACAGGGCAGGGATGGGTTCAAGAGGTGAGGCCCCTGAAGCCCAGAATTTTAAGGCAGCACAGTGGAAGGGCCCTCTGAGTAGCCTTGTTAATCAGCATGTGGCCATGGGTGAACAGTAAAGGAGTCACCTGGAAGCTTATCAAAAGTGCTGAATTTGGGGCCCTGCCCAGAACCTACATTTTAATGAGACTGCCAGGGGGATTTGTATGCATGTTAAATTTTTCTCGACTAAAGAAAAAATTTTTTCGACTAAAGTAAAATTCATGTAAAATTCTAAATTTTAACTGTTTAAAATGGTACAGATTCAGTGGGTTCACAGTGTTGTGCAATCACCACCACCTAATTCTAGAAATTTTCATCACCCCCTAAAGAAACCCTGTACTATTAAGCTGTCATTTTCCATTTCCCCTCCCATCCTCCCTTGGAAATCACTAATATTTTGTGTCTGACGCTTTTTCACTTACCATGTTTTCAAGGTTCATCCATGTTGTAGCATATATCAATACTTCATTTTTGTTTATAGCTGAACAATATTCCATTATGTAGCTATCACATTTTATTCATCCATTCATCAAATCTGTGGACATGTGGGTTGTTTGTACTTTGGAGTTATTATGATGAACACTATGAACACTCATTCATGCATAAGTTTGGGTGGGTATGTGTTCTCATTTCTCTTGGATGTAATTGTTGAGTCAAAGAGTAACTTTAAGTTTTTGAAGATTCACCATTTTTGCATAGCAACTGTATCACTTTATGTTCCTACCAGCAATATATATGTAAGATTTTCAATTTTTCCTTATCCTCCCCAACACATCTCATTGATTACAGCCATCACACTAGATGTGAAGTGGTATCTCGTGGTTTTAAGTTGCATTTACCTGATGATTAGTGATGCTGAACATCTTTTCATGTTTGTCTGTCACTTTTGTTATCTTTTTGGGGGAAAGTCTATTCAAATCCTCTGCCCATTTAAAAAACCTAGGCTGTCTTTTTCCTGTTGAGTTGTAAGAGTTCTTTATGTACTGTGGATACTAAATTTTTATCAGAAATATGATTTGCAGGTGTTTTCTCCCATTCTGTGGATTGTCTTGACAGTGTCCTTTGATATCCAAGTTTGTTTTGATGAAATTCAGTTTATCTATTTTTTGTTACTGTTGCTTGTTCTTTTGCTATCAATCTAAGAATCCACTGACATATCCAAAGTTATGAATTATTTATTCCTGTCCTCATAAGATTTTTATAGCTTTAGTTCTTACATTGTTTTGTTTAAAGCTATTTTAGGTCAATGTTTGTATGTGGTGTGAGGTGAAGATTCAACTTCATTAATTGGTTTGTGGGTAGCTGTTGAAGAGAACATTCTTTCCCCATTGAATGGTCCTGGCACCCTTGTTAAAAATCATTTTAGCATAAGGTTCACATCTCAATTCTATCCCATGGTTCTATATACCTTCTTTATGCCAGTATCACAATGAATTACTACAGCTTTGTGGCAAGTTTTGAAATTAAGAACTATGAGTTCTCTGCCTTTGTTCCTTTCTAAGGCTCTTTTGGCGTTTTGAGGAATTCCATGCACTTCCTTATGGATTTTAGGATCAGCCAGTCCACAAGGACAAAAGGCAGTTGAAGTTCTAGTATGTATTGAACTTATAGATCAATTTTTAGAGTATTGCTATCTCCACAGTACTAAATCTTCTAATCCATGAGCACAGGATTTTTTTTTTTTTTTAGTGTGTCTTAACACCACCTTGGTTAAATTTATTCCTTAAGCATTTTGCTCCTTTTGTCTGTTTTATCCAATAGGGTAAGTGAAGTGTTAAAGTCTCCAACCACTATTGCTTAACTATTTCTCCGTTCCATTGTCATTTGTTTCTGACTTTTCTGGGGCTCTACTGTTAGATGCATATGTTTACAGTTGTTATATCTTGATGGATTAAACATTTTATTAGGGTATGTCCTTGGTCTGCCAACATCTGCCTCTTAATTGGGAGCATTTACTCCCTTTATATTTAAAGTACTTATAGGCTTCCCGGATAGTACAGTGGTAAAGAACCTGCCTGCCAGTGCAGGTGTAAGAGATGCAGGTTCAGTCCCAGGGCCAGGAAGATCCTCTGGAGGAGGAAATGGCAACCCACTCCAGTATTAGTGCCTGGAAAATCCCATGGACAGAGGAGCCTGGCAGGCTACAGTTCATAGGATGGCAAGAGTTGGACACAACTGAAATGACTTAGCCACATTAATAACTTATACCACTTAGCTATTTGTTTTGTATCTTATAATTTTTGACTCCTTAATTCCTCCATTATTGCCATATTTTGTTAGATGATCTCAAGTGTACCACTTGATTCTTCTCCTTTACTGTTTTTTTAGTTATTTTCTGGGATTACATTAACATCTTAATTTCTAACAGTCCAGTTGAATTAGTATCAAGTTTCAATAGTAGACCAAAACTTTATATATGTTCTGTATAACTCCATCACCCACCTTTAATGTTATTGTCACAGAATACATCCTTATACATTTTGTGCCAACTGTAGTATTATAATCATTGTTTGGTGTCAGTTTTCTTTTAAATCATATAGGAAAAAAGTACTATAAATTTAAAAAATACATATTGATATTTATATTTACCTGTGTTTACCTTTAACAATATTTTATTTCTTCATGTGGATTTTAATTACAGTATCCTTTCATTTCAGTTTGAAGGACTTTCTTTGGCATTTCTCATACAGAAAATCTACTAGCAAGAAACTGTCTCACTTTTTGTTCACCCAGGAATGTGTTAACTTTTCCTTCATTTTTGAAGACTATTTTGCTAGGTATAGGATTCCTGTAGACATTTTTTTCCCACTGCACTGAGTATGTCATCCCATAACCCTCTAGCCTCCATCGTTTCTGACAAGCAATCAGATGTTAATATTTTTGAAGATCCCTTGTATGTGACAAGTCAGTTCTCTATTGCTGACTTCACAATTCCTTGTCTGTCAACAGTTTGGTTATATGTCCCAAAGCAGATCTTCATAAAAATACCCCTTATGATTTGAGTTCCTGGGATGTGTGGATTAATATCCTTCATCAAATTTGTAAGATTCCAGCCACTGTTTCTTCATATATTTCTGCTTTCTCTCTCCTATGACTACCATTATGTGTATGTTGGTATACCTGATGATGTCCCACAGGTCTCAGGCTCCACTTTCTTCTCTCCTCAGATCGGGAGATCTCAATTGACCTAAAGTTTGCCAACTCTTTCTTCTGCTCTCTCAAATATCTTCTTGAACCTAAGTGATCTTGTTTTTCTGTATATGGGTCATATTTTGTTTCCTTGCATGCCTTGTAATTTTTGTTGAAAACTGGGCATTTGTTGAACATTATGTGAAAACTCTGGAAATCAGATTCTTTCTTTCCCTTTCTGAGTTTGTTGTTGCTGCTTGCTGAATTTCATGTAGTTTAGTCTAGTGACTTTCTGAACTGATATTTTAAAAGTTTGTATTCTCTGTCAAGTGTGGCCGCTGAAGTATCTGTTCAGCTAACTTAATGGCCTCTAGTGATTCAACTTTAACTCCTGGAACAACAAAACCCCAATCTCCCAGTTACAAATGTGTTCTGTGTGTATTGGAGGCAAATCTTTTGATATGCAGCCAGCCAGACTGTGACTCTGCAGTAGCATTCACTTCCTGCAAATGCAGAGCCTGAAGGTCTGCCAGAGGTGAGAGTTTAGGGCCCTCTCAAGTCTTCTAGGCATATGGCCAGCCCTGAACATGCATGTGGCCTTCCAGATTCCCAGCAATTAGTGGAAGCACCCCAAAACCATTACTCCACAAAGCATCACACTGTCAGCCTTTGCTCCCCAAACTTTTCAATGTGTCACCTGTTTGTCCCAACTGTTATCCCTCTCTCCAGGCATTAGTGCTAATGAAACTGCCTTCAAATGTCCCTAAAGGTTGCCACCTCCAGCTTGCAAGAGTTCCATATTAGGTAAAATAAAAGAAAGTCATTTCAGTCAGTCTTCCTGGCAGCAACCAGACAGGTCAAAACCACCAACCATACCTCTTGAGAACAAGGTCCATTCTGCGCCATCCGTTGCTAAGGGCCTATAAAGGACTGAGTATTGTTCTCGAGTCTGCCAAGCTGGGGTGAGGAGGATACGGCTGGGTGAGTGAGAATGCCACAAGACCCTCTTACCAAGACTCAGTTTTCGTTTTTTTAAAGCTTTTTTTTTAATTGCTCCAAACTTTCATTTTCAGATTTCTCATAAAGTTGATTCTGACATCTTATCACTTTTTTGGAGGAATAGGCTTTTCAAGTTCCCTACTCTACCATTTTTGCTGACAAGAATGAAGTTTTAAGAAGCTCTGATCTATAGTCTCCCCTTCACTTTAGGCCCAAAGAGGAGAACTTACCGGGGGTCACACAGCAAATCAGTAGCTGAGCTGAGGCCAGAACAGGGATGCCTGACTCCTGGACCAGTGCTCTTTCTGCTTCAGGGCTGCACTGGGTTCAGAGTGAACACCAGTATTAGGCCAAAGTGAGTTTTCCAAGGACTGGGAGGGGATGAGAGCCCCTTGTAGAGATGGGGCTTGATTGATTGAATCCTTTGCTGAGATTGAACCCTGTATAGGGCCAGGTGGAGAACTGAGTAACGATGTTCTTGTTTTTAGAACACAAGCAGAGAGCTTTCAGGTTTCATGAAGCAAACATTTTAAGCTAGTATCTGCCTGGGGAAATGATTTAGCTTGATTTCTAGGCTAGGACTATAACTCCCTGCCAAAGCACAAGGATGGCCAAGCATGCTGGGTCTTGGTCAAGTGGCTCCAGGCATGGGAACTGAGGCAGAGCTGAACTGACAAGCAGGGCCTGCCTGCCTTCCATTCCAGAGCCCACAGCAGCCTTCTCTGGCAGGGTAGAGCAGGCTCTGTCCAGCTCATGCCCCTTAGGCCATCTCCTCTTCTGTGTCTAGAAGGCAGGGAGGAGACAAACTGGTGTCCCCAAGCAGATGTCTACTTTGTGAACAAGGCACTCCCTGTGGCCTTTGCTAGGGCTCAGCAGGTTTGGGCTCCCACTCTGGCCTCTGGCTTCTCTCCTTTCTAAACTTTCATCGTAAGAAACTACAAAGGGAGTGGAGATCACTGACCAGAAGACATGCTCTGGGCTTCTGGATGAGATGCAATGATTGCTAGAAACTCTGCCCCTTCTGGACTCGCCTTCTCCGGATACCACCAACAAAGGGGCAAAGGGCCCCCAAGAGACCACAGCCTGGAGCTCCCTTTCAGACTGAAGCGTCCCTGCGGGGAGGAGCTGATCTCATGCCTCTCTGACTTCCTGTTGTAAGGCTACCCCCAGGAGTCATGCACACTCCCTTCTGTCTGTGCCCTTCCTTCCAGACCTGGGGAAAGAACCACACTCCTCCTACTTGCCCTAGTGGACTTCACTGCACCCACATCTTACCAAAAACCCTGTGTGCCTTTTCAGCATGCAGGCCCTGAGCGAAGATTTCAGGAACCTCCCTCTCTCATGTCCTTAAGACCCAATCCCTGCAAATTACTTATATTCAGGGTTTCCTAAGCACAAGTTTCTATTTAAAGCCATTTAACTTTTCACGAGCTAATAAGGCTGGAACCCCTAAGCTACAGGGCAGAATCATGAAGCATGAGAAAGCAAACTGGCACCAGGAAAAACACTTCCAGAACATTCCAGAGCTGGGCGACTTTAATTTGGAAACAGAATTTGGCCATCGACATTCAGGTTTAAGGCACATTCTCATTACAAGAAGCCCTGTCACTGGCAGGGAGCTGGCTTTGTTCTTGTGGTTTGCGCGGAAGACAGGAGATGACTTTCTGGCCTTTTCTTTTCTAAAAAGGAGTGAGTTTGGCAATAAGAAAGCTCATGACACATTTTCACCAGATGCAGATTGTGTACCCTTAAGGGTTTTCCCTTTTACTCCTCAGTGAAGACAAGGTACTCCAACCCCCACCTCTTTCACCCAAACTTTGTATGCAGCAAAGACGTGTATGCAACTGTCTGCAACTATATATTAAAAAAAAAAAAAAAAAAAACTTCTAAACATACGAAATTACATGACTAAAAGGAAGCCAAGAGTTTCAGCCATAAGCAAAGGGGAATGACTGCATGAGTGAGGAAACAAAACATCTACTTTAGCTGCAAGAGGCTGTGAGGGGTAGGGATGGGCAGGAGGCGTCCTGAGAGACTGACGAGGTTCAGCACAAGCACAGTGCACGGATCAAGAGGGTTGGGGAGGAGGTGGAACCACGGCTCTACGGCTGGTCTGAACGGTGACACCTGGGGGCGGTTTTGTAGATTTGTTAGAAACAGACAAATGTCCTTTTGGCCTTTTCCTGGCATTGCTGTTGCCAGCAGGTGGAGAGAAGTGACCCACCAGCCACTGCTCAGTCGTTGCCACCACAGATCTTCAGCAGAATCTTCCGGTAATCCCCTGAAGTGTCTCCCTGGTCACAGGAAGGAGTAAGACATCAAGTTAAGAAAGGCTCGACCAGTTCTGGCTCCCTGGCTCTTGATTTTCTTCTGCCCAAAGTGCCCTTACAGAGAGGTGGCCCTATCTTATGAAATTTCCCATTCTGCTGAGAAGGCGAGCAGCTCACATGGTGGCATCACAAGTACATGGACCATGGACAGTGTAGTTCAGCCTCCCTAGTCTCCTCCGTTAAAAAAAACTGAAAGCTGTACTCACCCCAATGATCAAAGTCAGAATTTGAAAAACAAACACAAAAAATTTTTGAACAGCCAGAAACACCCCTACCCAGGTCTAACTAATGGCGGCCTTTGCCCAGTGCACTTCTGTTGCACTCAACAGGGATTATACCATAAGGCACTGCTGTGTCCTGTACCAGAAATGTCATCTACTGTGATACGATCATCCAGTGGAGGAGACGGTTACTATTTCAGCTCCCAGTTCACATTAAGCTCTCCTCCAACTGTCCACTGCACTTAGACGTAAGGCCACAGTGAGTTAATTTCTAATCATTTTCTTCCTTGAGGGCAAGGCCTATGGTTTATTCCAGATGCCCACTGCCTACTGGCAAACACAAGATTGCTATCAGCAGCATTGTTTCTGTACCCAAGAAAAGACAGAGAAGCTTCTCTCAAGAAGATGCCCAACATCAGGACCTGGGTGTGGCCATTTAAAGATTCATGTGAGCTCAGAATTTAACTATCAGAAGGCCCCTCCTTCCCACTCCCCCTGCAATAGGAATCAATTCTGTCAGACTATCTCTAGCACACAGTGATAAGAGAGGCACTACTATCTATCAGACACATATATGTCATACAATATGCTTTACATGGACGGCTTCCTTCAAGATACAACACTTCTGGGGGTGGGATCATCTCAAGGATGATGGAACTAGGGTTCAGGGAAGTTTAAGCAAGCTGTGTGAGATCACACAGTGAGAAAATACTAATAGAAAAGCCGGAATTAGAACCCAAGTGGTGTGACCCCCGAGCCCTCGCTCTGAACTGCCTTCCTGTGCTGCCTTCACCATAAAGCTGAAAGAGGTGACTCGTCAGGAAGGGCTTGGGACCTGAGTTCTCACTGATGGATGCCAGATCCACAGGGTGGCTGGACTCTGGAGGTCAGGCACCAGGTGTACATGTGTGTGGGGGGTGGTACTGTGCGTCTCTCATGCTGATTGTGGACCCTCCTCTGCCAACCATTTCCTGAACAGCAGTTGTGCTAGATGCTGGGATAGAGGGAGGGTCAAGACCCTCCCTGCCGTCAGGAGCTGACAAGCTGCTGCTGTGCAAGCAGGTGAACAAGTGAAAGCTGAAGAGGGCAAGCAGAGGACCACAAACAAGATGCCTTGCTTGGCTGAGGCCAAGCCTATAGGCGCTCTGAGGAAGAGCAACGGGGACAGTGGGGGCAGCCAGGGAGACAGCCCAGACGGCCCCCAGGGGCCCGTACCGTGATATCGTGGTACAGCGACTTGCCATACAGCCGCTTATACTCCGCTCTGATGTCCAGGAGGTCGATCTCGCTGCGAGACACCATGATGCGGATCAGGGTCCGGTCTTTGGTTCCTGCTCCCTAAAGAGAGTGGCCCAAGGGCATGAGCTATGGACCTCCTCGCCATCCAGTCCCCACCATTCCTGGGCCCTGGGCCCCTCCCCGCCCCCTCTGGAGGAAGGGTGGCTCTCCTCAAGCTTCCTCCCCTGAGCAAGGTCCCAATCACAGGATGGGCTGAGACACCCCCCTCACCCAGACCCTGCACCTGGGGATTACCTACCCTCATGGCCTTGTTGAGCCTCTCAGCAAAGAAGGCTGGGGTATTCTTAAGACATTTCACTGGAAGAGAGAAACAACATGAACTGATCTGCAGAAAACTCAGTCAGGGGGACATGGGGCACACAGCCGCCTCCTAGAAGGCCGGCTGTCCATCAAACACACCAGGGAATCCATCTTCCTCCCCCCTCATCTCCTCAGGCTCAATTATCCCACGATCCTGGCTCCAGCCCTCTGGAATAGAAACATGCAGCCTGGACACCAACGCAACCCCTTTCCTGGTAACCAGTGTGATGGAGGAAGCCGGTAGGGAAGGAATGTGGATGGTTGTAAGGAACCATATGGCTGCTCAGGCAGGAGGGGACCCACTGGGGATGGCGTGACCCTCGGCGGGGGAAGGCTGTCTGAGCAGAATGAATATCTAACTAGGGTTCTCAGGCCATGATACCTACCCTGGAGGACATGGGGGAACCTGTCCCATTCAGAAAGCTCCAAGAAAAGCAAAGCAGAAGATGGACAACCCATGAGAGTCCCAAGTGGGTATAAAGAGGGGCCAAACCCACAGGTGGTGGGCAGGAGGAGGACTGGCCTGGAGCATGCCAGGCCCTGCTCTGAAGGACGGGACCCGGGCACTGTGGGAAGCTCACAGCGTCCCGGGAGCTATGCCAGTTTTCCTCAGCCAGGGCCTGTTTTGCTGTTGCAAGTAAAAAAAATCTTTCCACGTGTTCCCATCACAAACATCTGACAACTGCCTGCAGGGATATATTTTTAGAGAAGACTTGGCAGGATGTGAGTCATCTTCCTCCCGGAGAGCGGCTGGTCGTGCTCCCACTGGTGCTCACACTGCAGCTCCCTCCCCGAGGCTGGGCTTGAAATATAAACAAGACCACTGGGGGCACAACCACACACAGTTATCCAGGAAGCAGCCTGATTTCCCACTGCGTAGGCAGCTGGATTTAACAATCTTGGACCCTTTCACTATGCTCATCCTCAAGCGGAGGGTGGGTGAGCACCCAGAAAACTCACAACACACCCCAGGCCCCAGCAGGAGGGCTGAGACACCTACCCACAGCCAGCATGCCCTGCTCCAGGTCCCCGGACATCTCCCGGCAGATGCTCTTCTCAATGTCACGTCCTGTCATTCTCTGATACTCATTAAAAACTAGTGGGAAAACAGAGGGACACGTTATGAACTGAATTCTGTCCCTGACACTCTCCCCAAATTCCTATGTTGAACTGTCCTAACTCCCAGAACTTCAGAATTTAACTGTACTTGGAGATACAGTCTTTAAAGAGGTAATTAAGTTAAAATGAGGCCCTCAGCATGGGCCCGAATCCAATCTGGCTGGTGTCTTTTTAAGAAAAGGAGATTTGCACACACAAGCAAGCACCAGGGCTGCCAACACAGAGCTAAGAGCATGCGCAGACACAGCAAGGAGGGGCCATGTGCGAGCCAAGCAGGGAGGCCTCAGGAGAAGCCATCACTGCCGGCACCTTGATCTTGGACTTCCGGCCTCCACAACTGGGAAAAAACAGATTTCTGCTGTTTAAGCCACCTGGCCCATGGTATTTTATTATGGCAGCTCGAGTTGACTCAGACAGGACACATGGTGAGACCTCTGCCTCTTCCCAGAGCCCCTCTCTCCCACTCTGCTCCTGGCACTCTAGGCGGTCCCAATGACACTAGCCCAGCTCTCAAGTCTCCCAGTTCTTCACCCCAAGGCAAGTGTACTCCCCCACCCCCCAGGCGTGCTTACTCAGTTCCCTTACCAGCACCTCTGCTTACCTATTGTACCTCAATCCCCTGTCCAGGAGCCCTGACACTGATATGCTCTTCTCAGATCCACCACTTCCAGCCCCAGCCCTTCTCCATCATTCTATGTGTCAGTCTTTCTCAATCTGACTGTAAGCTAACACCCCTCCAGCACCCCAGCTTACCCTGGGTTGGGCTGAGCACCCATGGGAAGTGGGCTGTGGGTTCTAAGAGAGGCAGGTGGAGCCATGGAGACCTGGGTCCTAACTTGACTCTGCCCCCAGGATGTAACTTCCTCTTCTCTGGCCAAGGTCTCAGTTTCTGTGTTCTCCAAACTGCTGTCATTTGCATATCAGAATCATGATTTCTACTACCTCTGTATCCAACTCAGATCAGCTCCTCTTTTCTCCTGACTAGTATCATTCGTGCAGTTGGGATTCTGATGTGCTATAAACGTATCTCATACTTACTAAAATAAATAATGACCAAGATGAACGTATGTGCACTCTTGCTCCATTATAGTACAGTGCAGAGGTTCAAATGCGTGCTGTGGAGGCAGTCAGCCTGAGGGCAAATGCCAGCTCTGCCACATCACCAGTTGGGTACCTGACTTCCCCAGCTGCCCTTCGCCCCACTCCTCATCTGTAAAGTGGGAGAATGGCGCCTATTGGAATTTATTAAAGGCCCAGTGCATGCCCATAGTGGGTGCTGGAGATCCCACCCCACTGCTAGGTGTGGTCATCGTTCTCCATCCTCAGCTGCTCTCTTATACACTGACACTGCTGGCCTCTAGGACACCCCTTTCTCTGGGTGCCCCTCCGAAGTCTCCTGCCATGGCCAGAGCCCTATCCTCAGACCACTGCGCTCCCTCCCAAGGGGACCACTTGCAGTCCCAGAGCCTCAAACTCCTTCAACCCACTCAGCTCCCAAACTTCCACCTCTAGCCAGACCTCTTCTGACCTCCAGGCTCACAAACCTAGTGGCTTCCACGGCACCTGTAGCTCGATTCCCTTGTCTCCTTAAAGCCTCCCACTCTCAGTCAAGGGTCCTACCCTCTTCCTCTTCCACTGGCTCAGCCGGGACAAATCCCAGGGTGCTTTCTCTCTCTCACACCCCACATCCAATTCATCCACAAACAGAGCCAGAATCTGACCCCTTCTCACCACCTGCTCCTACCAGCTGTCCACACCACCATCACTTCTCCCCTGGACTGACTGCAGCCGTCTCCTAACTGGTTTCCTTCCTCACCATAGACCCCGTCACTCTTCTCAGCACAACTGTCAGTACACTTGCAAAACCTAAGTCAAATCACACCCCTCCCTCACACCGCACCCTCCACTGGCTCCCTGTTTTATTCAAGATAAACACCTAAGTCCATGCAACTGTCAGCAGGACTTCCTACTGTATAGTACAGGGGACTACACCCAATCTCCTGGAATGAACATGGAAAAGAAAATTTTAAAAAGAATGTATAAATGTGTAAAACTGATTCACTTCGCTGTACAACAGAGACTGGCACAACATTGTAAATCAACTATATTTCAATTAAAAAAAAAATTAAAAACTGCTCCCAAACAAAAACTCTGCAATTCCATATTCTAGCAGGTGAAGACACCAGCCACCAGGAGGCCCCCCTTCTCTCACCTCCTCCCCTGCTTTCCTCAGAACCAGATGCCAGCACACGCAGGAAACACGCTGAGTGTCTTGCAAATCGCCACTAGGGGGCTCTTTCAAGGAAGTGAAAGCTCCATGCAGTGAGGAACTGCCAAGTGTTTCTGCAATCCATTTCCTGACTACAGGGAAGCCAGGACGGCCTTACCTGCCACCAGGTGGGTCCGGCTCCGGGAGCACAGAATTGCATTGAACTTGGATTCATCTGTTCCCAGGCGGTTCTCCCCAGCTGCATAGAGCTCCTGGACAGAAGATGGACAGATAGGCATGTAGGCCTCACCCCCAACTCCAGGCCCAGGTCACCTAGGACACCTAGGCAGTCTCTCTGGGCTCTGAAGCCCAGAGGGGAGGGAAAGAGGGGCAGGGCCCCAGCTGAGTTCCATTCACTGTGCTGAGACAGATGCCATCCACACATCCTGAGCCAGGAGAGCCTAGGCTGCTGGGATCCAGGACAGGCAAGGAACCGGGGTGGGGGGGGGGGGCGGCAGCACAAAGGAAAACATAGCTCTGCCACCCACTTGCCAAGGGACTCTAGGCAGGTCACTGGCCCTCTCAGCGTTCTCAGCTCTAAAGTGGGAAGAGTGAATTAGATTCAGGGTCACCAACCTGAAAGCCCAAAGGGGCCACTGGGTAACTTAAATGCAGGAATCAGGGCAGTTGTAAGGCCAGAGAGCGGTGGGGACCATGGGAACTACACAGAGGTGCTTCTCAGCTGACGACAAGACAGAGGAACAAGGCTCACAGCCCCCAGATCCACTTTTCATGTAGTGGTTTAGTTGCTAAGTTGTGTCCAATTCTTACAACCCCATGGACTGTAGCCCGCCAGGTTCCTCTGTCCCTAGAATTTTCCAGGCAAGAATACTAGAGTGGATTGCCATTTCCTTCTCCAGGGGATGTTCCCGACCCAGGGATCAAACCTGGGTCTCCTGCACTGCAGGCAGATTCTCTACCAACTAAGCTACCAGGGGAGCCAGAAATCCAGATGTCCATATGAAATTTCTCATCTTTAAAGGCAGTTTCCCTATCTATAAGCAAGAACACATAAGACAATAACTATTACAATTAATAAATCGCAGTTATGTATGTGGGGCTTTATGTGATAGGTGCCTGCCTGTCATTTTATTGCATACACCATTTTATGTTTGTAAATGGGAAGAATTTGCAGTTTCCTCTTAAGCCACTGAAGGTCTAAGCTCAGTATATATGCCAATTGGTAACCTCTGAACCAGATGGCTCCAAAGTGCCTTCCGGGCCTCAGGTAGCAGCAGCTCGTGGACTGAAAGGCACCGATATTTGAGGGCAGAAGGTGCCCATTAGGGGCTCAGAGACCCCACACGTCAAGGTAAGGCCAAGCAGGTCCAGAACTAAGGCGGCAGAGTAGTCGGCATGAAACCCTTCAACCAAGGCAACTTCTGCCTGAGCTAAGAAACAGCCTGGACAGGAAACAACAATGGGAAAATCCCCACAGGGGCAAGGCCAGAGCCTGGGGCTTTGAGGACGTCCAGCCCTGAGTTCAGTTATGGGAATGGGGGCCCCAGCCCGGGAGATGTTAAGGAGGAGTCTGGGCCCAGGGCAGAGGCAGGCGCTGTCTGGGCACAGGACGTGAGCGAGGTATCTGGCCTCTGTCCAGGCTCCGCCTCCAGGTTTCTCAGCACACAGCTCTGCCTCCCTGAGCCTCAGTGTCCTCACCTGGACACCTCAGTGCCCTCCAGCCCCCGAAGCCGGGCCCTCCCCAGCCAGAACTGCCATGGTGGTCTGACATCGTCGGTGGGGAAACCCAAACTCCTCTGGAGAGGTGCTTAGATGCCTGGACAAAGAGAGGAAATGGCCAGAGACAGCTCCCCCTTTGGTCTGCAGTTCACACCAGGCTGGGGACAAGGGCAGAATTCCAAGGCTACACAACTAACATGGCAGCTGGTTTCTAGGTTCAAATCAAAAGCTTAACAGAATAATGGTCTAGGCAATCAAACACACGTCCAAATTCCATGAAATCCCACATCCATCACTGATCTACCAACTGTTAAAATTAATATTATCCCACATGGTCCCTCCTACAGGGCGGGAGACTGAGGCCTATGGAGGTGGGGTGACCTGCTCAAGGTCACACAGTTGATAAGCAGCAGAGCCTGTGAAACTTACAGCATCTGGAATCTACTCCTAATCTTTGCTGTTTCCACCCCTCATGACACAAGGAAGTGGGAGACGCCCCTTGCTCAAGAAGCCAGGTGAGTGGCCATCACTCACCTGCACATCTCTCTGGACGAGAGTCATGTCCACGTTCATGCTTTCATCCCGGTTCCCCTGAAAGGAAGCAGGCCGTGAGGCAAGGCCACTCCATGGAGTCACATCCCTCCCTCCCTGCTCCTCCTCCCTGTGGCTCAGACGTCCACCTCTCCCTGCCGTGGGCCCAAGCTCTGCCCTGGGAAAGTACCTGAGAGAGAGAGATGAGGAGTCGCTGGAAGTGCCCTGACGTGTCGCTCCGAATGGCCTCCTCCAGAGTCTTTTTGAATTCTGAAAGCAAGATGCAGGGAAGGGGACCATGGCCCCATGGACCAAGCTACCCAGTGCACAGTCAACAGTGAGCCTGGCATGAGGAGACAGGTGGCCCACATGGCCCCCAGGAACATACAACTGGAGACCAGGAAGGGCTATGACTCCCAGGCTGACCTGGCCCTAGTCGTGCCCAGGAGGTTTTCCCTCAGCCCTCCCTTAACCTCAGTCACCTGCTTCTGTGTAAACAGCAAGCAGGGCTGGGCTGGGATGGAAGGCCAGTGTGTTGGGGATGGCAGGAGATGAGGAGATAAGGTCAGGAAGGAAGAGTTCAGGCCCTGGGAGAGGGTGTGGCCATGGTGGGTGAGGCCCTGGGGCCAGTCTAACCTGTTTTGTAGAGTCTGTTCAGTTCCCGGATGTGCTCATTGCTGCGGGAGGCGAGGATCTCAATCAGGCAGGCTTCATCAGTGCCCGCCCCCTGCGGAGCCAGAGCACAGGACAAAGCAGGAGCTTGTGACAGCCTCCTTGCTAGCAGGCAGGGAAGAGCAGGTGCCATGATCCCCCAGGACACAAACCCCAGTGGAAGAAGCCACAGACACAGACCCACCCATCATGCTGCTGCTGCCACTACCCTGGCCTGAAGCAGCCAAACTCCCCCCCACAGTCTCAGGAAAGTACCAGGGAAGATAGCAACATGGTGACAAGTGGAGATCCATTTGAAGGATTATCCCCATTCCATCTTCCAGGACACCAAGAAATCAGAGAAGTGTGGTGACTTGTCCGAGGCCACACAGTAAACGGTGGGGTTGAGAGGCAGCCCTAGATCTGTTTTACTCCAAGTTCAGTCCACGGATAAGGTGACAAACAACTGAGAAAACGGGTTGAAAGCGAGAGCATGGACATGTGGGAAAACCTGACTCCCAGGGTGGAGAGTGGAGTATCCTGAGACACTGAAGAAAAGGCAACAACATTGAGGATGGAAGAGACAGCTAAGGACGGGACAGTGAGAGGCAGGGGACAGGGTCAGCAGCCTGGTTTCTGTATCGGGTTGCAACTTGGTTCTGACAATCACTAGCTATGTGACCTTCGGCATGTTACTTCACCTCTCTGAGCCTCTGGTTCCTTGACCATAAAATGGGAGTGATACTGGGGGCAGATATGGTAGGGTGTCCTGGAAGCAAGAGAATCAAGAAGGACTTTCTTGACATAAGAGAAACCATTTCTGGTCTAAACCATTTTGTGATCTAAGCCTGGCCACGGTACTTGTCCTTAAGGGAACAACAGAGCAATAGGAAAGATAACAAAACATATGTAAAGACCCTGGGTTCTGTGTCAATGGTAAAGACAAGCCTGAAGCACTTTCTTGAGCTGTTCTGCAGAATTTAAACCCCCTTGGGCTCTCAACCACCGAAACAAATGGAACCTAAGGGATGATGATGTTGACCTTTTCAGGTATGGACTCTGTGGCCCATCCAAGCCCCTTCATGAATATGCACCTGTTAGCTTAAATTTTTCCCTGTTTTGCAGTTCCAGGAGACACTGCTTTGGGAAAGATCCCTGATGTTCTCACTTGCTGCAAGTAATAAATCCCTCTCCTGCTTCCTGGGCTTCCCCGGTGGCTCAGACAGTAAAGACTCTGCCTGCAATGCAGGAGACTCGGGTTTGATCCCTGGGTTGGGAAGACCCCCTGGAGAAGGGAATGGCAATCCACTCCAGTATTCTTGCCTGGAGAATTTCATGGGCAAACAAGCCTGGCAGGCTACAGTCCACGGAGTCACTTTCTCCTACTCCTTGACTTAGCTGTGTCTTTTGACACCCACGGAGAGATGAACCTAGTTTCAGGGGATGTCCCTTCAGGGCAGGAAGAGTCACTGTGCCCACTAGGCCCTTAGAAGTGTTAGATTTCTTCTGGGGCACCTGCTCAGTTCACAAGGACTCCCCCATCTGTGGGAGTGGCCCCATCCCATCCATAGGACACCTGCTGAGGGGCACCTGCTTGACAGTCACAGGACTAGGGGGAGGCTGAACCCAAAGTCCATCAAAACCTGCCTCCTATTTGGAATTTGGACCAAGGGACAGCTGGCCTCCTCTGTGGCTGGATCTCTGACAGGTACTCGGGGAGGGGTCCACAGGGATGCTGTGCCAAAGAAGGAGAGGCACAGAAGCAGATGCAAGAATGAAGGAGACACTCAAGCAGCAGACATGAGAAATTCTGCCCAGTCCCGTCCCTCTCCAAGTCAGGCTGCTGTCTCTATCCTCCTGATTCTCCACCCTGGCTCTGCTTAAGCTCCTCAAGAGTGTTCTGTTACCTGCTAACAACAGAGTCCGGATGAATGAGGATGATATCATCCACTCCTCCCACCCCTACTAGCACTGCATCACTGATTTTCTCTGAGCCCCAGCTCCTACCATTTAAGGCAGAGAGATTTAGATGCTCCCTGATGATGAGTGATGCCTCATTTGCCTCTTGGAGGAGTCACCAAAAGTGCCCTTTTCTATAGTACTTGGATCCCAGGAGCTATGCTGACAACAATAGCTAATAATTGAGCTAAGACATACCATGTGGTCTAGGTCTTTATGTTCATCATGTCCACACACACACAGAGAACATACACACCTTGATAGCTTCCTTTATCTCATAAGCATCAAAGAGGACAGGCGTCTTCATCAGGGCCAAGATTGTCTTCTCAAAGTTTCCTGACAGTTCAGATTTCAGATCTTTGATCAAATCCTAATTGGACATTCAGACAAACAAACAAGACCTATTTTGAGAATCCACAGGAGGTGACCAATAGGGAACAATATCCCAGATCCAGCAGCATTTACATAAAAGACAAACCTCAGGCCCCAGCCTGACCTGCAGAATTGTAACCTGCATTTGAACCAGATTCCCAGGGAACTCATAGCCCATTAAAGTAGGCCAGAGCACTAGCCTGCATGTACTAGTCTATATGTACTCAGTGGTTATCTTTCTATTAATTAAGATCCAAAAGCCCCCAAATTCAAACTTTCATGTGTTCAGTACTTAAAACCTCTTCCTTCAAAGAGAAATAACTTGCCCATAGTCTCAGTGAGTCACAGCAGAGCCAGGATGGAACCCAGATCCCTGGGCACCTCTCAGCAAACCAGTACCCTGTGGACTCTGGGATTTCTGCTTCAGAGCATCCTTTGCCTCTAGAAGATGCCACCAGTTGACAGCCACCAAGAAATGCCCTAACATGCCTTACAGTTCATCTAGGAGATCCAGGTCCCGAGGAAAAGCAGGAGTAGGCTGCTCCTATCAGGAGGATATGCCCTGATTCAGGAAGGAACCCCCACCCACACTCACCTTCCCATATGCTGTCTTGAAGGACAGGAGGATCTGCTGCCGTTGCTTGTTGGAGCGACTACCCAGGCAGTCAATGATGGCCTGCTCGTCAGTCCCTGGTGGAAGGAGAGGTGGGAGTGGGTGTGGCTGGGGTCACAGACATGCTCTGTGGCTAGAGACTTTCTTGGCCTGGATCCTCCAATTCTCCTGAGCATCCGCAATACATCCCCATATCCACCTCCTCTAACACTCGGGCCAGGCTGCCTCCACCCAGCGACCCCAGCCCACAGAGCCACTGTGTAACTGCCGAGGGAGTCAGGAGGAGGCAGTTGGGACTCATGCCACACTGGGTCTCTCACCAAAGCCCTTCATGGCCTTCCGCAGGACCTCAGCATCTCGCAGGGGGTCAAAGCCAGATGCATCTGTGATGGTGCCTCGGTTTCCAAACTACTCAGACAGACAGACAGACAGACAGTAAGATGCTACATTTCCTAGATGTGAGACTGCCTGGCCCAGGCTCTGGAGATGACCTTTCTTCTAAAAGCTGGGGGACCTGAAGGAGCCTGCAGCTGACAGCACAGGGGACTCACATTGAGCTGGCCTAAGGTACATTACCTGTCCTCGTGTCCTGACACTGAAGCATCTGCCTGGCTCCTGTGGCTCGGAGCCTACCTAGAGCTGAGTCCTGGTGCTAGAAATCTACCCTATGCCCGGGTCCTCCAGGCCTGGGCTCCTGATGAGGGGGAGGCCTCAGGAACAGGGTCCCAGCCTCTCCTCAAGGTCTCAGCACTGCACATCAGGGCTCCCCTAACAGGCCTGCTCAGTCACTCTGTGCACATCACAAATAGGTGCTCCTCCGGGATGCCTTCATGTGTCTAGCCTTCAGGACGGTACATGCAGGCCGGCTATCCTCCTGGATTCGCTCTGGTCTCCTGACACCGTGTTCTGGACTCTACGACCTGCTTGCCTGCTGGGCTTCTTCCTCAAATGACAGCTACACTCCAAGCACACTGGATTTTTCCTGCCTAAACTCTCCCTTGATGGATGATCTAGGACGAACTAGCTTTAACAGAGGAGATAAGCTGAGAGAAAGATGAGGGGAAGGCAGATAGGGACGAGGCAGGGCAGGGCAGGGCAGGGGTGGAGGGACATGTGGGTGTTGGGGAAGGAGGGGAATGGACCCTCTGACTAAAAATAGTAGTCAACCACATTCCACTAGCCCTGTGCTTGGCTGGTTTGGCTGTGTAACCATGACAATGAATTCTAGGCTCTGCAAACACGAACTGCTCTCCAAAATGAGCCAAGAGCAGTCCTAAAAGAACTGGCAACAATTTTACACACTCAAAGGGGCTGGTTTTGAGTCTGGGAGGGCACATCCAGGGATTAAAGACTAAGGGCCACTGGGCAAAGGCCTTTTGAGACAGTTCTCACAAAGCCCAGGCAGTAAATAACACAAGAGAATAAAGAGTACCTGGAGGCATTCAGACCCGCCTCACACGGGGACCATCTAACCAAGCTGGGACAAACAGGGTGGCTCCCTCGGCCCTCAGGTGTGCAAACAGGGGTGGGAAGTCAGTGAGAAAGTGACACTCTGAACACTACAAGTCAGAGCTACAGGACTGAGCCCTCCCCCGTCCCTGCTAGGGCACACTAGGCCCCTAGGGGTCTCAGGCCCTTAGGGCCAGGCCCAGACAGACAGTAGCACAGGGTTGGCACTTACCTGGGCTGGGGACACGGCAGGGGTGACAGTCCCAGAACCTGAGTACCCTGGATAGCTTGGCACCGGCTGCTGCCCAGGAGGTGGCATTGGTGACTGTCCAGGGTAAGTCATGGGCGGCTGTCCAGGGTAGGCCCCCGGGGGCTGCTGCCCAGGGGGCAACATGGGCTGGCCTGGCACAGGGGCCCCTGGGTATGGCGGATATGAAGGCATCCCAGAGGGTGGGTTTCCTCCAGGGGGCGGGTACATTCCATACGAAGGAACAGGCTGCTGGGCGGGAGGGGACTGCCCAAAACTCCCCGGGGGAACTGGAGGGTAACCAGCCCCAGGAGCCCCTGGGTACAGGTTTGGCACGTTGGCTCCTCCAAACGTCCCGGACATGTTGGCTGCCTGAAAGTCCACAAAGCAGAGCCTTAGACTAACAGCCCTGGAGAGGTAAGGCCACACTCCATCCATCTATCTGCCCTTCCCCACCCTGAGCCCTGCAGTGGGTGCCCGGGAGCCACACTCAGCCCAAGTTGACTCTGAGCACCACTGGCTTCTCAGCAGGCCAACCATGCCCACCCACCTTGTCGCACATGCCCTCCGCCTGCACCACTGACCCCTTAACCTGCCTGTGTACCAAAGCACCCACACTTGCTTTAACACCACACCACTGTTTCCTTATGCTACTGTCTGTCTCCTCCCAGTGGATGGCAGGTACTCCTAGGCTGGGGTTTTCTATCCCCAGCACCTACAATGGGCCTGGTGCAAATTAGACTATGTAGTGGTTACACTGTTCACACTGAGCATACGTTTATCTTTAGATTATAAAATACACCATTTTATAAGCAAATCAAAAGTAGCACGCCTGCCTGTGTTACCAGGTACCTGCCCCCAGGCCCAACCAGGACAGTCATCCACATGTACCAACATGGACAACACACACCTGCATGTGGTCACATGTGCATCTCACACACACACACACACACACCCCCTCACCTTCCTCCCGTCCCTATGCTAAGAGCATACAGAAGGTGCTCAATGCATATTCCTCACCCCTACCCAATCCCCCAGCGCTGAAAGAAACCTGGAAGACCACGCAGCCCAACAAATTGTCCCACCCCTCACTTTCCAGTCGAGAAAAACGAGATGCACAGAGGGACTGTGAGCTGGCGAGAGCCTTGATGGAAACCCTTCTGTCCTAAGATATAGTTCGACACCCTGGGTGCCCACAGGTAAACACACACCCCTGACACCATGGAAGCCAGCAGCTTTTCTCCCTCTGGCCCCAGAAGAGTGGCCCCCGGGGCAGCCCAGTGGGAGGGCTGGACTCACCACTCCTGAGAGATAGTCCTGGTTGAACTGCCCTGCATAGTTGGCCACATTATCCAGCCCGATGGGAGGCATGGTGGGTGGCGGGTAGCCAGCACCTCCCCAGGCACCGCCACCTGAAAGCAACACCGATCCATCAGTCCCCCTATCAGCCACCAAGAGGACAAGGCAGAGACATCAAGCTCCCAGGTGGTCAGAGAGGAGACCAAACGGAGCCTTGGGCAATCCTATAGGCCACAATGAAAATGCTCAGGCAACAAAGTCTAGCCTGATCCCACTGCCAGAGAAGAGAAGAAGGAACCTTCCCCACCTTTCAGGGAGGAAGGCACCACTCAGCAAACACTCCGAAGACTCTCTGCAGGGTATTACGGTAGGAGGGCCACGGGCAGACCTGCTCTGCTGGGCTCACCACCACGGACCAGGAGTACAGACAGGTCATTCGGGGAGGCTGTGCTGAGCCCAGCAGAGTGGGGGCTCAGAGTCCAGAGTGACGGGAAAGCACGGCGGGTGGGGCGGGGTGTCCTGCTCATTTGGTGGTATGCCATCCCCACATGTGTGTAGGAGGCAGGGAGAAGCAGGATGACAGGACAGAGGGAGACAGAGCTTGGCTGTGGAAAACAGACACCTGTCCTAGTCAGAGGACAATCGGGGAACAGCAGTACAAAGTCCCAGCTCTGAAAGCAGCAGGACTGGGGTATGTGCCCTGGGCAAGCACTCAACCAGCCTGGCTCAGTTTCCTCGTGCGAAGTGGGCATAATCAGTGATGGCCTCAAACTGCTACAAGGAGGATTGAGAGAGTTACTGCCAGGCAGGGCTTAGCCGGGAGCCCGGTGAGCATTCATGTGTGACAGCCCTCACCATAGCCCTCACAGGTAGCCCAGCAGCTAGCATCACGGCTGGCCTGTCAGAAGCAGCCCTGTCCACGGCCGCGAAAGGGCCCTGGGGGCCTCCAGTGTGGCTCTCCAGCTCCGGGACACTCAGGACAGAGCCTCCCCGGAATCACTCGGCAGTTCCCTCTCCTGCTGCTCAGGTGCTGACAGAGGTGGAAGTGGTGGGGCACAGACAGCTGACGGGCCGGCGCAGCCTCCCTGCTACTGGCCCACAGCAGCAGCTGCAGCAGTAACAGCTGAGCCCCAGGACCGCCTCTGCTTCCTGCCCGTGCAGGGTCCCCGCTGCTGGGAACCACACGCCGTGCACACAGGGCCGGAGGAGTGACGGGGCCTCAGAGGACACCGCCAGAGCCTTCACCCGGCTATCGCGGTCCTGTCTGGGCCAGCCCAGTGATGGAGACACTGGAATTCATTTGCAAAGGAGAAAACTGCGTCTCAGAGAATGGAACATGTTTGTCTGTTCCTAATACTGGAGAAGGAAATGGCAACCCACTCCAGTACTCTTGCCTAAAAATTCCCATGGACAGAGGAGCCTGGTGGGCTACAGTCCCTGGGGTCACAGAGAGTCAGACACGACTGAGTGATTTCACACTTCACACTCATCAGCTAATAAGGCAAGAAACTGGGGCCTGGCCTCATCCTGGCTTTTCAGAAGTGGCTTCAAATCCTGGCCTCGCCTGGCCCCAGGTTCCAAGCTCTTCTCCAGCCCCTTCCCACCTGGCTGCACTGGGTGGGTATGAAGGGAGCAAGGAAATGACTGGAAAGCACCACCATTCCTCCCCTCTGCATGCCTGGACGCTGTGAAGAGAGGGCAATCCCTCGCCCATAGGCCCCAGACCTTCTTACCTGGTGCAGCTGGTGGGTAGCCACCTGCGGGCGGGGGGTAGCCTGGGTAGCTCATGGCTAGATCTGAAAGGAAAGAGGAAAGTGTGCTCAGCCTCGGCCAGGGGCTCCCATTAGCTTTACAGGAGAACAGCGACATCCACAAGCCAGCCCCGGCAGGAGGAGCTGCATGAGGCCTGACCCGAGGTGGGGCAACCCAGCTCACCCTTTACCCACCAGGCCCCTGCCAGAAACTGCAATCGGGGCATTACAGGATTCATCACTCACGAGCTGGTGAGTTTCCTTCAAAACCTCTTCCACCCAAGCTCTACTCCCGCCTGTGCGGACAAGGGATGCCGCACGTGTGAAGCTGCTCTCCCGTCTCTCTCTCAGGGGTCCAGGTCTATTTGCCTGAATCTTCTTTATTACCATTCAGCCAGCATCGGGGAAAGCCCACGCTCCCGCCTCCTGTGCCTGACCTATAGACCCCGAGCGATCCACAGTGGCCTCCAAGTTGCATCTGCCCCAAACTACACATTTTGTTCTCCAGCCTCTGGTTCACCCAGCAAGGGAATCTTTGGGTATGGGATGACCATTCCCAGAAATAAGGAGAGCCCTCAGGAGGGCTCATCTGATCAAGTGAGGCAGTACCATCCTGAACCTACAGATGGAGCTCAGACAGGGCAAGAGACTTGCAGGTCAGTAGTAAGGGAAGGAGACAGGTCCGGAACCTAGAATTCTTGGTGATGGTGGGAAACCTGTCCTCACAAACCCCTCTCTGGACAGATCCCTCTGCCGTGTCTCATGCTAATGGAGCTGCCCAGAGGGACACGATCTGTTGTGATATCACACTCTCAGACCACCAGCAGCCTGCTTACTCCTGCCAATCAGTGGCTGTTGCAATTTGAGAGGCACCCAAGGACCAGTGAGAGTGAGGAGACCTGTAGGCTCCCCTAACAATCACACCTGCTGAGCCCAGGTGAGCTGCTCCTCCTTGCACGCCAGGCCCCAAGCAAGTTCTCCAAACTGCAGTGTGCATCAGAACCCACCTGGAGGGCTTGTTAAACACACTGCTGGGCTCCACCCGCAGGGTTTGAGTCAGCAGAGCCAGAATTCGTTATTTCTAACTAGTTCCCAGGTGATGTTACTGGTCCAGGAACTCTGAGAAACACCTCTCTAGACACCATTATCCATCTACAAGATTCTGGGCCGCCCTTCACAGCTGCACTGGAGAACTGCACAGGATGTTTTTAAGGAAGATGAAGGGCTTCCTTAAGGTGCCACTGGTCCCCACAAGTCTGGTTCTCAGCCCTCTGGGCATGGTAATTTATTTGGGTCAGTGGGTCCACGGGTGACTGCAATGGGAGGCCAGATGGCGGCCCAGTGACCTTGCAGAGAGCTAGAATTGGCGACCTGTGGTGTGGGCCAAAGACCTTTTCCCAAGCACGCTGCGATGTGGCAACTAAGGTCCCCAGTGGTGTTTTCAGTCTGACCCCTCTGCCAGAACCCTGAGGCCTCGCTGGTGAGGCAGCATCCTGGGGATCTGAATGATGGATGGGCCAGGAACCTCCTCATGGAATAAAGAGGAACTGCCCATCGGAAAAACAGAGGAGCTGCAGTCCTGTTCCTGACACCGTTCTCCCTGGAGACCACCTCCCAGAGGAATGAGCCTGGAGGCCTCATCCACAGTGGGATGGGAAAACAAAACGGAGGAGCAGGATACTGCCCTGTCCCCTACATCAACGTAAAATGTCAGCCAGACACTGAGCTTCAGACTTCAGGAGCAGTCCTTACCCCCAAAGATAAAATTAAGTTTCTGTGTAAGACAGAAATAAGGAAAATAACATAAAGACAAGAGAAAGGACAAATTTAGGAAAAACGTTTTATGGTAAGAAAAAGACCAATAACCTTTAGAGAAACTCAAATGATGCAAACTATAACAGAAAAGGAACATTAGATGTTCACCCTCACTAACATGGTGAGACTCACCAAGTAAAAACACAGAGATGTTGAAATTAAACATGACACAGTCTTTGACTCAGAAGCTCTACTTCTGGAAATCTATTTCCCAGATGCACTTATCTGTGACATTTACTACAACAACAACAACAAGGAATCCCTAAATACCCACCTGCAAGAGGCTGGTTAAATAAATGACAACGGATCCATACAAGGGATACTCTGTATGTTGTATTCATATATCTATATATTATATTATATACTTCAGAATTAGCCAGCTCTATGAGTGGCGATTTGAAATGATCACCATTATTAATCAAGGTGTAGTGCTGTGTGTATGCTAACTTTAAAAAAAGAAAATGTACAAATTTAGCACTGAACACACAAACACACACACCCTACAATCCCTGGAATGTTAAACAAGAAACTGGGTAACACTGATTGCCTCTGGAGGGGAAAACTGGAATAGAAATGAAATTCACTGTTTATATTTGCATTTCTTGCCACATGCATTTGGGCCTATTAAAAAAACAACTTTAAAAAAGACCCAATTCAGTTGGGGATTTCTGAGCTCACTTGAGGTCGTGGCTGTTCTTCCAAGATTCAAATAACTCACACAGGGTCCATTCAGCGCAAGGCAGCCCAGCTCTGAGCCTGGGGTTAGGATTATTACATAAATACACCATGGCACTTGGACCTGGAGGGACTGCTAGGGTTCCTGCCTGGGGCAGAGCCACAGGCCAGCCTCAGCCACTCACAGGGTGATGGTGCTCATTCCCAGAGCTCCCTGATGATGAGTCTGCCCTGCAGTGTCCACAGGCCCGGTCTAATCCTACACCCAAAGAACAGTCCTTCCTCCCGCGCCCCCCAGGCTTCTCCTCTCCCCAAAAGCCCACCTCCAGTCTTCCCCTCTTCTGAAAGAACAGTCTCATTTTCTTCTCACCATTTCCTGCCTGAAGTGGTTTCACGTTTGTGACCCACTCCCTTCTTGGTCGCAGAGCTCCCTTGGGAAGCAAAGGCTCCAAGTAGGGTGTGGAGAGCCCACAGCAGTAGCTCCCCCAGCGTCCCTGGACTGGTAATACCTGCATGTTCTGGACAATGGAGACAGGATGCTGATGCCTGTTAAATTTCCCCCCTCCATTCTACCTGTTGCTCCAGACTACAAGATCTCCTGCAATCTGGACCAGTATCAAGCATCTTAGAGCTCTCTCTCAGCTTTCTTTTATATACACTGGTTGGGAAAATGTGGCATTTGCGTTCTTCCCAGTGACACTGAAAGGGCGCTCCTGCACTGTCGCTACCAACCTCTCCCCACCCAAGACCACTCAATCAGTTATTGGACCACCGAATTCTACCACAGCCTGATCGACACCCATTTCCTCATCTAGTTCACAATAGTAGGAAGAGGGCCTCCGTCAGATGAGGATTCTAACATATCTCCCCCAACCCCTCGCCGGCCTAGAGCGCTCTAGCTTATCTGTCTAGGACTCTCCAGGAGAAAAGCAAAGGCAGCCAGGGAACCTGGGTCGAACTTCAGGGGCCCTATCCTCAATCCCAGTGCCGTGGCTCGCCCCCTCCCAACGACCACATGTCCTAGGAGAGCCCAGGATCAGCAGGCAACTCTTAGACTCCCAACATCTACAGTCTTTGCCTCACCTTTTTAAAATAATTTTACTCATTTATTTTTGGTTGTGCTGGGTCTTGGTTGCTACGCAGGCTTTTCTCCAGTCGTGGCAAGTGGAAGCTGCTCTCTAGCTGCAGTGTGTGGGCTTCTAGTTGCACTGGCTTCCCTTGTGGTGGAGCACGGGCTCCAGGGCACACGGGCTTCAATAGCTGCACCCGTGGGCTTGGCAGCTGGCAGCTTCCAGGCCCGAGAGCACAGGCTCAATAGCTGTGGCGCACAGGCTTTGCTGCTCCACGGCATGTGGGATCCCCCCGGATTAGGGATTCAACCCATGTCTCTTGACTGGCAGGTGGATTCTTTACTACTGAGCCACCAGGGAAGCCCCCTTTTTCTGTGAAAACTAAGAAATTTGCTTATGGCCCAGTCTTTACCTACTGTGGCCTCCACTTTTTCTCAAGAGGCCACCAGCAGGGTCCGCTGCCCTTGGCAAAGTTAGTCTGCACCCAGGGTACCAAATCTGGCTCAGAGAGTTCGGGCAGGGCATGGTCAGGGCAGGGGTAGAGCCCTCACCTTCCCCTCTGCTCTGTCCAACCCTCACTCTGCACAACAAAAGGTAACACAGTAAATGACCTGCAGATCTGCTTTCTCTTTGGCATCTACAAATATCACACCTTCTATGCTGACCAATGCCTTCCTCCTACTTCTGCCCTTTAACAAAGAAAAAAGGTGCCTGCGTGGGCAGGTGTCATATAGTGGACAGGCCGGGAGTCTGACAGGCCAGGCACTTCCCTGTTCTGTGCCGGCTTTCATCAGGGCACTCCGTCTTGGGACTCACTGGAGAGGGCCTCCAGGTGCCGCAGGCAGCTGGCCTCTTCTGGGACTAATCCAGTTCCTAGAAACCAGTCTCTGGGGAACTTTCAGCCTCAAGTACTGCCTCTCAAGATGCAGCACAAATACCAGCCTTCCCTTCCTTCCTCACTGGGACCATCTACCTGCAGCTGTGTACCAAATTTCATCCAGCTGTGGCCCTCTCTGGCTAAACCAGGGCTTCTCATGCTTCAGGCTGCAAGACAGTCACCTGCTGGACTTGTTTTCACCCAGATTGTCAGGTCCTGGCCCCACAGTCTCTGCAGGGTGGGTTTGGGAACTGGCCCCAAAATGCTGATGCTGCTTGACTCTGGACCAGTTTCTGCAGCACTGCTTCCTCATGCTTGGGAATCACCTGGACAGCTTGCTAAAAATGCCCAGGCCTTGGCCCCAATCATTCTGGGCACTTCAATCTGGGACGGTCCTGGGAATGTGAAATATAAACAAGCACCCTATCCCCATCTCCAGGAATTCTGATGTAATTGATTCTGCACTCCACAATTTAGGAAACGCTTTTTCCTTTAAGGTACTTGGACACTTTCTAGCTTATTCTATCTAATCTTTATTCTCAGCAGTAAGTAAACTCTGAGGATAAACACCAAGATCTGAGCATCCCAGGGTCCCTTGAG